ACTAGGTTGACAGAAGCTGGGACCAGTAATGGGAGCTCACTCCCTTACACAGCGCTAGGGATTCAAACCATCGAACTGTTGACCTTTCTGATTGACAAGCTCAGTGTCTTAGCCATTGAGCCACTGCGTCCCTACATATACATATGCAAGAGAGAGAGGGGGGTGTATATGCATATGTATATGTATAGATATAGATGTACCATTTTTAATAACATTTTGTCGAAATAAATAGCACAGAAGAGAATCAGCATATGTTGCAAGATTCTTATCCTCAGATAAAAGTTCTCCTGGATTCATGAAAATGTACTTTCTCAATGCAGCCTCACCATTAAGCAGACTGAGACAGCTTTAATTCCACCCTTCTTCCTTTCTGAGTGCTTTGGCTACTCCTCATTCCTGCTCAGGAAAAACTAAGCTTTGTTCGCCAAACTGTCTGAGCTGCATTCATTAAACTAGAGAATGTTATCCTAACACAAACAGTGACATTAATGTAGATGTCACTTGAAGAGGAGTAGGTTGCCATGCTTTGTTTCATGCAGTTCTGTTGTAAAAATCTAGCTTATATTTGTTCTTTCAGGGATAGATACTATGGAAAATGTCAAGATCACTATGCCCTGGAGATTTCCCTTGGTATTTACTAGGCTCTCACCTCTAGTAACTAAATCTATGTTTATTTTTAAAAAGTTGCCTTAATTTTTAAAAGAGAGTAAGGAATACTGTAAAGCAGAGTGCAATCCTGCAAAACAACACTTTTGTTTTCCAGAATGTATATGAACCACACATAACTCATAGTCATTTTATGTAAATAAAAATAAGAAGTGGCTACTATCCAATGGGTCGTTGGGAATTTTTTGGGTGAAAACAAACAAATGCCTAGGTATAGAATAGGTGGTAATTGGCTCAACAGTAATAACTGTGAGAGATCCACTCTCTAGTGGACAATCACTTAAATATGAGCCAGCACTATGCTGAAGCTGCCAAAATAGCCAACACTGTTCTTGTTTGGGGAATAGAATTTAAAAAAAAAAACACATGAAGTTCTAGTACCACTTTATAATGCCCTGGTAGAACATAGAACATCATCACAGTTGGAAGCGAACTTGGAGGTCTTCTAGTTCAACCCCCTGTCAATCAGGAGACCTTATGCCATTTCAGAAAATGACTGCCCAGTCTCTTCTTAAAAGCTTCCAGTGATGGAGCACTCACAACCTCTGAAGGCAAGGTTTTCCACTGGTTGAGTTGACCACACTTAGAATATGGCATCCAGTTTTGGTCATCACAATATAAAAAAGAGGCTGAGACTCTGAAAAGAGTCCAGAGAAGAGCAACAAAGATGATTGGGGAACTGGAGACTATAACATATGAAGAAATTGGGTATGTTTATTTTAATTTAAAAAATTACTAGGGGAGACATAACAGTGTTCCAATATGGCAGTGATGGCTAACCTTTCTGTCATTGTGTGCCAAAAGCACGTGTTATCACACCCATAATGCAATATGTGCATGAAACCCCCATATATCACCCCCTGCGAATGCGCACATGACCCCCCTAACCCTGTGCATGCATGCAATTCCCCTGTGATCCCCCTTCCCCCATGCATGCACATGTGACCCCCCTATGTGTGCCTTGCCCCTGTGCATGAATGCATGACCCCCCTGTGTGTACCCTTTCCCCTGTGCATGTGCGCCCTCCCCACACACACATGCCCTCTCCCTGCGCATGCCATCCTCCTGCACATGCACATGCTACCCTCCGCACGTGTGCCTGTAGTGCATGCACACACATCTCTGCATGTGCCCCACCCCCATGCACTCATACACTCAAAAACCAGGTGGCTGGCAGGAGACACGTGCACACGCGTAGTGAAGCTGAGCTGGGGCAACAGCTCATGTGCCCACAGAGAGGACTCTGTGTGCCATCTGTGATATGCATGCCATAGGTTCGCCATCATGGATCTAAGGAGTTACTGCAAAGAAGAACTGGTCAACCTATTCTCCAAATCACTTAAATGCAGAGGAAGAAGCAATATTTTATTATTGCATTGTTCTAATGTATGTTGCCAGGCCTAGTCACATGAATCATTCTAGCTCATCTTAAAAAACCGAACCTGGCAGGGAAAGGTAATGATGATCTAACTGTTCCAAGCCTGGCAATGTTGCAACTGTGCTGCCTCGTTTCATTTGGCCATTGGCACAACATTTTGGTTCTCCCAAATTCACATGAATTCTACAGCCGTTATTTCTCAACCTTGGTAATGGCAACTTTAATCTGTGGGGACTTCAACTCCCAAAGTTTCTCAGCCACCATGCTGGCTAGGGAATTCTGGAAGTTGAAGTCCACACAGTTTAAAGTTGCCAAGATTGAG